CATGTTTACATGGATGGAGCTGGAAAATATTCTTCTTAGCAAAGTATCTCAAGAATGGAAGAAAAAGTATCCAATGTACTCAACCCTACTATGAAACTAATAGTTAGCTATCATAGGAAAGCTATAACCCAATTTTAACCCAAGAATATGGGGAGAGGGGAGGGGAGGGGGAAGGATGGGTGAAGGGAGGGGGATTGTTGGGATCATGCCTATGATCTATCCTATAAGGGTACATGTGAATTTTTCTAAATGTGGAATATAAATGTCTTGACACAATAACTATGAGAATGACATGAAGGCTATGTTGGCCAATTGGATGAGAATATTTCAAATTGTATATGGAAATAACACACTGTACCCTGTGATAGTATTAATGTGCACAACTATGATTTAATAAAAAATAAAAAAAATGTCTTCACAAATGAGATTGGCCTATAGTTTCTCCTTTTGGGGAATACTGCCGTAATCAGATTTTGATTATTCTAACTGAAAAAAAATGAACAGGGCTTTGCATTGCCCTGAAGCAGTTTATGTGGGAATCATATGTTCAATAAAAGTAGGAAAGAATTCTTTATAAACCTTTTTGAGTAAATAAGTGCTATGAAGAAAAAGCAAAGTGAGGGGGCAGAGTGAAAAGGACTACTGTTTTAGGCAAAGTGAGCAGAAACTATAGTATGATCAAACAAGAAAGCAGGCCATGTCAGTGTTTTGAGGCAGAAGAAACAGAAGGGCAAAAGCCTTGAGAAGGGAGTATGCTTGGCACATGCCATGAGCATCAAGGAGGCTAAGTGGGTGGGTAGGTAAGATGAAGTCTGAGAAGTAGTGAAGATTTGCATGGGGACTTACAGGCAAGATTCAACAAAACCTGCATTTCTTTGTCATTCTGTTCCCCCTTAGATTTTGTTCCTTAACTGTTTTTCTGTCTTGATTTGACTGTTCACTTAGATTTTTATCTTTTCTTTTTTGATTTTAGTAAAGGTTTAAGAATATAAATTATAAGTACAGCTTTGCCTGTATTTCGTAAGCTTGATAGCCATAAATCATATTCCTAATATAAAAGGGAAGCTGAGAAATGTAGGATGTTAGAAAACGAAGAATAAAATGAAATTTGTTTGTGTTTGGCAAATGGGTAACAATATTATCTTTACCAATATTTTTATTGTAGGGGAAAATATTTGAAAACCATACATTGATGCCATAAACACATTCAGAAATCTACTAGTAAGGAAGAATGAAAGAATAAATATTAGATAAACTATTAGCAATATCTTTAAAAAATTTTATGAGTCTGGCAGATTTTCCTATAGCTTCTCATACTACACAGATTGTTACCAAGTATTGCAAAATAGAAAAGTACCTAATTTATTTCATAAATTGTATGAAAACTTCTATCAAAACCTGACAAACAATTGCTAAAAAGGAAAATTATATACCAGTTCTTATGACTATAACTGAAAACTCAAAATACAAATATTCCAGTTTTACAGTACATTAAAAGAATCATTCATCATGATCACATAGGATTCATACTATAAATGCAAGAATGCTTTAATATTAGGAAAGCTTTTAGTACTATACAATATCTCAACAGATCCAATAAGAAAAAAATTATAATCACAATAGATAAGGATTTGATAAAACTCAACACTCTTTTCTGATTAAAAAACCAATCTTAGCTAATAACTAAGACTACAAAGATCTTTCTTTAATGAAATAAAATCATCTAACTTCCTATTCTGGTGAAATTTATTGCAGTTCAAAGGATAAAGATATATTTCATATGTCTCCAGCCTTATCAATATGTGACTACAAAATATACTTATAAAGACTCTATGTAATAGTATAACATAAAACAATAATAATGTGCTCCCTATTACTTCTGGAAGTTTCTCAAGCTACTTTCCTATATGCACTGGAGAGCACATTCCTATCTTTTCCCTCAGATCAGATCTTTCTAGGTTGCCACCATACAACTGCCAATGACCCTACTTAGAATTCTGGCATACCTAATTTAGGCTTAGGAAAAAATAACACCCACTTATTTTTATTTTTTCTGAGTAGAAAATGAAGATACTTCTAATATTGTCTTTGAACTTTTAGAATTAGGTAGTTCTATAAAATCAAATTAGCCACCCCTTTGTGAAGTGCATTATATTATTATTATATTATTATATTATATTATTATTTTCTCCAAAAGTAAATAGACTAAAGGGTGGGTATTGTGGCTTACACATGTAATCCTAGCACTTTGGGAAGCCAGGATGGGAGGGTTGCTTGAGCCCGGGAATTTGAGATACAATGAGCTGTAGTGAGGTCACTGCACTCTAACCAGGACAACATAGTACGAGACCTTGTCTCAAATACATAAATAAATAAATAGATTAAGATTTAAATTTTTAAATCACAGAAATGTATGTTTTATGCCAAAATTTCAAGCCTTTTTAAAAACCCCCATTTACATTAAGGAATACATTTTTTATTGTGACTAAGTAAACACACACATAATACATCTATATATAATCAAAGCTTTTACAGAACTTACCAATGATATATGCAAAATAATCTTGATATTATCTAGTCTAGTCTATTTTTTTTTTTATTAAATCATGGTTGTGTACATTAATACTATCATGGGGTACAGTGTGTTGTTTCTATATACAATTTGAAATACTTTCATCCAACTGGTTAACATAGCCTTCATGTCATTTTCTTAGTTGTGTTAAGACATTTATATTTTACATTTAGAAAGATTCACATTTACCCTTATAGGATAGATCATAGGCGTGATCCCACCAATCACCCTTCCTAGTCTAGACTATTTTTAAAAGTAGCTATCAATCCACCGAACTGACTTCATAACCCAGCACTGCAGTTTGATAAGGCACTGTTTGGGGGTTGGTAGAGGCAGAAGGAAGAAGCTGGGCAGGAGATACTGGTTGGTCAGCAGCTAGCTCATCACTATTTGTGGGTTTCTTTGGTCCTGCCTAATTTCTCCCTGGAAAGGGAGGGAGGTTTTGACATTGAGAGGGAGACACCACTGTCCCTAGTTCTGAGCTTGAAGTCACTAGGACTTCTCTTAAACTTGTGTGATGAGGAGACTCAGATGTTGGCCTCAGCTGCTAGTCTGAACTTAGCAGATCGGCCCATGAAAACTTCTGTATTGAGATGCACTGATTGTCCTGGGGTTGGCAGCAAGGAAGAGGACAGGTACTGAAAATCCTAGAACCTTAAAAGCAGACTGAAACATGACAAAGAAGCTAAAGATGGGTGATGGAGAAAGGTATAACATTCCAGCCCCTCAATCTAGAAATGTTAGAACCAACAACAGCTTAATAGAAGACTAAGGATCAGAATTCCTAGATGAAGACTATTATAAGGAAAAAGAAATAGGACATTGTTATAATTTATCAGCAGCTACATGGCAAGCCATGCAAAATGGGGGAAAGTATAAAATTTTCCAAATAATCAAAACTAAAACTCTAATTTATCAAGTCCCAGCTTACTTTTTAAATCTCAAGCTAATCAAAGCTATGGTGAAGGCAAATTTAGTGAGATCATCAAGTGTTCTTCCCAAACCTAGAGTCTAAGCCACTGGGTTCCTGTTTCCTTTAATCTTTCAGATAAGGAAATAATGACATGTCAACTTAAAACAGTGGTTCTCAACCTTCCTAATGCTGCGGTCCTTTAATACAGTTCCTGTGGGTTGAGAACTGCTGACTTAAAACCTTACTTAAATGTTTTAAAATAAGATTGTTTAAATTTAAGTGTTTATGGATTGTCAACTGGTGTGAAACAGATTCATTAGGGAATCTTTCTGTGTATATAACTAACTAATGTAGAAATTATAATTAACCTTCATCTTGTTTGCTTTATGTATTATGTGCATTGTGATGTAATGGTAGTATCAGTGCAGCTTAAAGTAACTAATAATTGTATTTGGTAATAGATATTCTCACCTGAGTATCTTATAAGTGATACTATTCAAGTTTAGATTTGGGGAATGGTAAAGGAATCAACTTTTTCTATTATTTGTTGGGGAAAAACAGTAAGTTAGTATTATCACTTATGGATCTCAGTAAATTTATGTGTTGAGTTAGTGAATAACATTATAAGCATCTATGTAAGACATGCAAGTATTGAGAACTAGTTGGACATTTGAAATTTCCATATACTAGAAATAGTCACACCAGTTGCTAACAACCTGATATACTCTCAACAGAAAATATGAATTTATCTGAATGTAAATTGTACAGTGGTTAATGTGGAAAGGATACTAGAGGCTTATTCGAATAAGGAGTGATATATCCCAGTGAAGAATGAAATTTAAAAATAAAATTATTTTATCTCCCCTGTCCCCAGAGTATTTTAGATCATATTTTTCAGCAGTTTTGAGGTCCAGTTTTGTTGTAAAGATGAACTTTTCATGTTTATGCTGGATATTTTGCTGGTTGCTAGTTTTCCTCTGATTTCTAGGAGGGTAGTAGGATAAGAATTTTCTAAATGGTAATTTCTTTCTTCTACAGCTCTCATGTGTGAATATGAACGAAGTGAATCATTAACCTAAGGACTTCACCAATTGGAAATTACAGTTTTCACCATCAACTGCCTTATCCTTTTTGGTTGGGTTTTCTTTTTTAAACTGTAGAAACATTTCTTTCAAGTTGCTTTTGTTGTAGAGTTAAGCAAATGGCTGGTAGGGGCATCAGTAAAAAATGCACAAAATGTTCCTGCCATTCATCTACTTCTAAAAAAGAACTTTGTGATTGTTCCTGTAAAGCAAAGGGCTCTCCAGTTTTGGTGGTGGAAATGTCACAGACATCAAGCATTGCTAGTGCAGAATTTATAGTTTCACCGGAGAGACCAAAAGAAAAAAGTAGCAGCAGAGATCTTACCTCTGGAAAAGATGTGGTAAATATTGAAGATTCTACATCTCAGCACAAGTAGACTTCCCATTCTCTAATCCCTTCCCTAGCTGCTTCTTTATCCCATGAGTCCTTGTCATCTAATTCATTGCCTTCTTAACTATGAAGGAACATTTCTTTCTCACAGAAGAGATGAGCAAAGTTAGTTAGTAACTTGTTTTATGATATTTCCAACCCCTGTCCAAATTAATTAGTTCTCATATCCTGAAAAGTTATAAATGTTATTCCAATTTCTTTTTAAAAAATGGTTTATATATAAATAGGTTGGTTTTCAAAGTGAATTAAATCTGAAGTTTTGAGTATTTTTTTTCCAACTGATACAGAATCAGATTTATGATTAAATAGTTATGGCTTTATTATTTAAGGCAATTTCTGATTATCTAGATGGAATATTAACTATATTTTATAAAAATTTTAAATTTGTAATAGTTCTAAACAATCTATGGGTACTCAATTGGACTGATTTGAATGTATTTATCTTTATAGAGAAGAGGCATTGTGTAAGATTATAGTTGATATAGCACAACTTTGGAGACAGAGAGGAGTAAATTTAAGAAAAATCAAATTTCCACCCCCTAAAGTTGTATTTTTTTTCATACTTTCGATGTCAACTATTATTTCTGATTTGCATTATGGTATAGGTCCTGGCATATATGTGTCTCTGAGTGAGTTGTTGGTATATTATTTTCACTCAAAGCATATTTTGTATATGCCAGCCAATAATTTATTTTTAACCTATTTGAGATGATTGTTATATTTTGCAACAAGGGTGATTAAGAAAGCTGGGAAGTTGCCTTCTTTGGTGATTTCAAAGAATTATCAGGTAAGTTTTGATGTATCTGCTGTGTAGGTTATCATATCAATTTCTCTAGAGTTAGGAGATTGAATTGAATAATTTCATAAAATCTCTCTCCTTTAGCCTAATGGGCCAATGAATTGTATATAGGGCTTGGTATTTGGGAAAGACCATAAACTATTTTTCTTGTACATAGTAGATTTCATGGCACACATTGAAGATTTATCAAATAATCTAAATTAAGATTCTTTGTCAGCTAAGAATATTATATCTTAAAGTTTTTTCTTTTTTTATTCCTTTTTGGTCCAAGCCCTCAAGAACCTTAAATGTAGAGAGAAAAGCATCTCAACAATGGGGTCGGGCCAACTTTACAGAAGGAAAAGTTCCTCACATAAGAATGGAAAATGGAGCTGCTATTGAGGTATATAGAAAGCAAACTGAAGCTATTACAAACCTTCGGGTTTCTTTTAAGTCTATAGTTAATGGCAAAAATGATTTACAAATAAGTGTCTAAGGCAGTAGTTCTCAACCTTCCTAATGCCATGACCCTTTAATACAGTTCCTGTAGGTTGCAACCCATAGGTTGAGAACCTCTGATCTAAGGAGAGGAAGTAAAGAGGAAATTTACTATTTTTGAGTATCTTAAAGTTTTTACTAAAGAAAATGCAAACTAATTTTATTTTCTGTTTATGGAGGACCAAATGGACTTAATTAAAGTAGAGAGCATTTTTATTAGAAAAAATGCAAATATTTTGGTGTTTAGGTCTTGGCTATTGCTGAAGGCAAAAATGGAGTCTCAATGTAGACCTCTTTAAGATACAGAGACACCAGATGATTTTAGATAGTCTGGTCTCACTAGAGAAACTGATAGCGAGACCAGAATCTCCCTCCTTTCCCCCTCTATCTTTTGTAGCCTGTGCTTAGATAAATATCAATATTATTCTTCCCAGGATTCAAATTATTATATAAAAATATAAATAAATAATGGAATAATTTTAAAAAGCTAAAATGTGTTTTCTTAATATCAGATTAAAGGAACTGTAACAAGAACAACTACATTAAGAAGAAAATCACATTAATATTAAACATCTGTTAAAAATTGTTTAAAAAATTATTTAGCAGCTTACTTGAAGTGACCAGGAAAACTTGCTGGAAATTTCTGACTTGAAAAGTTTAAATCTCTCCCCTTAAATAAAAGGTGTGTGCTTTAAAAAGCCCTACAAATTTACTAAGTCTTAAAATTATCCACAGAGCTTCTATAAAAGAAAAATATATTTGTTGTAAAAAAAATTAGGAAAATAAGGATAAGAAAGTAAAGAATATAAAAATCATCAGCCAAACAACCAATTTAAAAATTATTATGTTCACTCTTTTTTTTCTTCTATACATGTACTAGTTTTCTATTTTTCTTTAACCCTTTTCCTAGTTTTAATTATGGAATATTTCAAATATATACATATTTTAAAGAAAAAAACTTAACTGGTATAGTCAACCCCCATAAAATAGGCAAGCTAATCTTGAATATTTTGAACATTTCAGATGGATGTAAAGAAGAAAATTACAGTCATCCTTAATTGACTACCCATAGATAACTACTCTTAATATTCAGATGAACATTTTTTTCCAGACATCAATGTGAGCACTTCTATATACATACATTTTCTGATAGGATCATATCATGTATGCTTTTTGTACTCTACACTATATCACAAACTTAATTCTATGTCAATAAAAATAGATTTATATTATCATTTTAATAGCATCCTCTTAAAATTATTAGAAATAAGAAGTCATTTTCTCCTTATTTTAACCACCATGTGATAATATCAAAACAAGTAGTTGAAGAAAAACGTTAGTTTATGAAAAGCTAGTTGGCCATCCTTCATTTTTAAAATTCTGTTGAGATACTGTGCCCAAATTGATGTTCTATATATTTAGAGAGATAATGAAAGTTTAACTTTTAAAGGATAAGAAAAATTGAGGAAATCATTATGAAGGGATTATTTTGTTTTGTGACCAAAAAGGGTAAGTGACCATTTTAATTGAGATTTAACTCTACATAATACAGGCACACCTAGTGTTATTGTACTTCTCATTATTTCACTTCACAAATATTGGATTATTTTTTATAAATTGGAGGTTTTGATAACTTTGTGTTGGCTCCATTTTCTAACAGTCTGTGCTTATTTTATATGAATAAGTTTTGGTAATTCTTGCAATATTTCAAATTATTTTACTATTATATCTATTGTGGTGGTCTATAATCAGTACATCTTTTTATTACTATTGTAATTGTATCCCTGAGACATAACAATATTGAAATTAGGCCAATTAATAACCCTACAATGGCCTTTAAATATTTAAGTGAATGGAAGAGTGGCACATCTCTCATTTTAAGTCAAAAGCTAGACATAATTAAGCTTAATGAGGAAGGCATGCCAAAAACCAAAATGGCCTGAAACCTAGGCTTCTTGTACTAGTTAGCCAAGTCTTCAATGCAAAGGAACAGTTCTTAAAGAAAATTAAAAGTGCTCTAGAAGAAATATGAATAATAAGAAATTCAAACAGCATTATTATAATAATTTCAGTGGTCTATATAAAAGAATAAACCAGCCACAGCATTCCCTTAAGCCAAAACCTAATCCAGAGTAAGGCCCTAACTCTTAAATTCTATGAAGGCTAAGAGAGGTGAGGAAAGTGTAGAAGAAAAGTTTAAGCCTAGTAGAGGTTGGTTCATGAGGTTTAAGGAAAGAAGGAAGTTTATCTCCAAAACATAAAAGTGCAAAGTGAAGCAAAAAGTACTGATGTAGAAGCTGCACCAAGTTCCCTGGAATATCTATATAAGATAATTGATGATAATTTGTGGCTATACTGAACCACAAATTTTCAACGTAGACAAAAAAACCTTAATGTGTTAAAAGTCATCTTTTAATGATGACTTTCATAGCTAGAGAAGCTTCAAAGCTTCAAGGGACAGGGTGACTTAGGGGCTAAGGCAGCTGATGACTTTAAGCTAAAGCAAGTGCCTATTCATCATTCCAGAAATTCTAGAATTATTCTAAATCTATGGTGCCTGAGCTCTATAAATACAACAACAAAACTTAGATGATAGTACATCTGTTTATAGCATGGTTTACTGGTTATTTTAAGCCTACTGTTGAGACCTGCTCAGAGAAAAGATTCCTTTCAAAATACTACTGCTCATTAATAATATATATGGTCACTCAAGAGCTCTGGTGGAGATGTATAATACAAGGAAATTGATGTTTTCATGCCTTCTAACACAACAGCCATTCTGTGATCTATGGTTCAAGGAATAACTTTGACTTTCAGGTTTTATTATTTAAGAAATACACTTCTTAAAGCTGTATCTGTCATAGATAATGATATTTCTAATGGATATGGACAAAGTTGAAAACGTTCTGGAAAGCATTCACCAATCTGGATGTCATTGTAGTCATTTTTGTGATTTATGGGAGAAGGTCAAAATATTAAAATTAACAGAAGTTTGGAAAAAGTTGATTCCGACCCTCATGGATAACTTTGAGAGGTTCAAGAGTTCAAGGGAAGAAGTAAGCACAGATATGGCTGAAATAGCAGAAGAACTAGAATTAGAAGTGGAGCCTGAAGATGAAATAGCTGAATTGCTGCTATCTCATGATAAAACTTTAAGGGATGAAAAATTGCTTTTTATGAAAGAGCAAAGAAATGATTTCTTGAGATGGAATCTACTTCTGGTGGAAATACTGTGAGCATTGTTGAAAATGACAACAAAAGATTTAGACCATGGATGGGGAGCCTATAACTTTAAGGCTACATGTGGCTTTCTATGTCTTAAGTGTAGTTTTTTGACTGAATCCAAATTTTTATTCCAAATCCTTTTATTTTTATTAATACATTTATCATTTATATTTTTATTTTAAACATAAAATAAGTGTCAATGAAATAATCCTCCCACCAGAGGATTAAATTCAAGAATAAAATAAGTGTCAATGAAATAATCCTCCTACTAGAACATTAGCAAGCCATAGGGGCTAAATTGACAGCTACTATACTCATGATTTAGTTCTTACTTCCCCCACCTAACTGGTGCCACCATCACACAAGGCTGGTTGGCGAGAGGTTATGGAGGTTGAATATGGCAGGCAGTCTGTTACAGATTTTGACAGTGATGCACTGTGTTTTTGTGGAATTTGGCAGTAGTTGTATAGCTCAACTATTATTTTTGAATTCTGTCTGCTTAAAAGACCATCATGTCAAAGAAGACCTAGAAAATGCTGAGGGAAGAAAATTGACTTTTTTTTTTCAGGTTAACATAAGGATGCAAAAAATTAGGTTACAGTGTTTTTGTTTGTTAGGTAAACTCTCTGTTGTAGTTGTGCCCTTCACCCAGAAGGTGTACCATATATCCTTACATTGTGCCCATTAAGTGGGAGCACACTCATCCCCTCCACTCCTCCCTTCTCTCCCCACCTTCATTCCCTCTCCCCCCATCTTGAATTGAGTTTTTCTCTTATGTGGGCATGTATTAGTTTATCTGCTGGCTTCATATTAGAATTGAATACATTGGATACTTGCTTTTCCATTCATGTGATACTTTACTAAAGAGAATGTTCTCCAACTCTGTCCAGGTTAATATAAAAGATGTAAAGTTTCCATCTTTTTTGTCACTGACTAATATTCCTTGTATACATAGGCCACAGTTTACTAATACCTTCATAGGTTGATGGTCAATTGGTTGATTCTACACTTTAGTGATTATAAATTGAGCTGCAACAAACAATTTAGTAAATATCCTTGTGATAAAATGATTTTTTTTCCCTATATAGATGGCTAGTAATGGGATTGTGGGATCAAATGGAAGGTCTATATAGAGTTTTTTGAGGAGTCTTTTCAACACTTCTTTCCAAAGAGGCTGTATTAGTTTGTAATCCCACCAACAGTGTAAAGTGTTCCCTTCTCTCCATAATTGCACCAGCACTGCATCTTAGGGACTTTGTGATGTTGGTTAATTTCACTGGGGTTAGGTGATATCTCAGGGTGGTTTTGATTTGTATTTCTCTGATGAGTAGGGACAATAAACATTTTTTTCATGTGTTTGTTGGCCATTCATCTATCTTCAGAGAATATTCTGTTCATGTCTCTTGCCCAGTGATATATGTGATTGCTCTTTGTTTTGATTAATTTGAGTTCTCTGTAGACTCAAGTTATCAAACTAGAATTTGTCATATTTGTATCATGCAAATATATTTCCCTATTCTGAAGCTTGTCAATGTAGTCTTCATAAAATCTTTCCCCAGGCCAATATTAAGTTTATCCCATAGAGAAGATTTTTGCATGTTATGAATCTGACAAAGACCTGATAACTAGAATCTACAGAGAACTCAAATGAAACAATAAGTAAAGTGCAAACAACCCTCT